GTGGTGAGGGTGAGTGGTGATGGTGAGGGGTGAGTGGTGATTGGTGAGGGTGAGTGGGGAGGGTGAGTGGCAGTTGTGAGTGGTGATTAGTGAGAGGTGAGTGGTGAGGGTGAGGTTGAGTGGTGAGCGGTGAGGGTGAGCAGTGAGGGTGAGTGGTGATTGGTGAGGGTGCGATTGGTGAGGATGAGTAGTGAGGGTGAGTGGTTGTTGTGAGGGTGAGTGATGAGGGTGAGTGATGAGGGTGAGTGACGGTTGTGAGAGGTGATTAGTGAGTGGTGAGGGTTAGTGGTGAGCATGAGTGGTGAGGGTGAATGGTGTGGGTGAGTGGTGAGGGTGAGTGGTGAGGGCGAGTGGTGAGGGTGAGGGGTGAGTGGTGAGGGGTGAGTGGTGAGGGTGAGTGATGACGAAGAGTGGTGAGGTTGAGTGGTGAGTAGTAAGGGTGAGTGGTGATGGTGAGGGTTAGTGGCGAGGGTAAGTGGTGAGTGGTCAGTGGTGAGCGGTCAGGGTTAGTGGTGAGGGTGAGTGGTGATGGTGAGGGGTGAGTGGTGAGTGGTGAGGGTGAGTGGTGAGTGGTGACGGTGAGTGGTGAGGGAGAGTGGTGAGGGAGAGGGGTGAGGGTGAGTGTTGAGGGTGAATGGTGAGGGTGAGTGGTGAGGGTGAGTGGTGAGGTTGAGTGGTCAGGTTAAGTGGTGAGGGTGAGTGGGGAGGTTGAGTGCTGAGGGTGTGGTGAGAGTGAGTGGTGAGTGGTGAGGGTGAGTGGTTAGGATTTGTGATGATGGTGAGTGGTGAGGGCGAGTGTTGATGTTGAGTGGTGAGGGTGTGTGGTGAATAGTAAGGGTGAGTGGTGAGAGTGAGTGGTGAGGGTAAGGGTGAGTGGTCAGTGGTGAGGTTGAGTGGTGAGTAGGAAGGGTGAGTGGTGAGGGTGAGTGGTGGGTGGTGAGGGTGAGTGGTGAGGTTGAGTGGTGAGGGTTAGTGGAGAGTGGTGAGTGGTGATTAGTGAGTGGTGAGGGTTAGTGGTGAGCATGAGTGGTGAGGGTGAATGGTGTGGGTGAGTGGCAGTTGTGAGTGGTGATTAGTGAGAGGTGAGTGGTGAGGGTGAGGTTGAGTGGTGAGCGGTGAGGGTGAGCAGTGAGGGTGAGTGGTGATTGGTGAGGGTGCGATTGGTGAGGATGAGTAGTGAGAGTGAGTGGTTGTTGTGAGGGTGAGTGATGAGGGTGAGTGATGAGGGTGAGTGACGGTTGTGAGAGGTGATTAGTGAGTGGTGAGGGTTAGTGGTGAGCATGAGTGGTGAGGGTGAATGGTGTGGGTGAGTGGTGAGGGTGAGTGGTGAGGGCGAGTGGTGAGGGTGAGGGGTGAGTGGTGAGGGGTGAGTGGTGAGGGTGAGTGATGACGAAGAGTGGTGAGGTTGAGTGGTGAGTAGTAAGGGTGAGTGGTGATGGTGAGGGTTAGTGGCGAGGGTAAGTGGTGAGTGGTCAGTGGTGAGCGGTCAGGGTTAGTGGTGAGGGTGAGTGGTGATGGTGAGGGGTGAGTGGTGAGTGGTGAGGGTGAGTGGGGAGGGTGAGTGCTGAGGGTGTGGTGAGAGTGAGTGGTGAGTGGTGGGTGGTGAGGGTGAGTGGTGAGGTTGAGTGGTGAGGGTTAGTGGAGAGTGGTGAGTGGTGATTGGTGAGGGTGAGTGGTGAGTGGTGAGGGTGAGTGGTGAGTGGTGACGGTGAGTGGTGAGGGAGAGTGGTGAGGGAGAGGGGTGAGGGTGAGTGTTGAGGGTGAATGGTGAGGGTGAGTGGTGAGGGTGAGTGGTGAGGTTGAGTGGTCAGGTTAAGTGGTGAGGGTGAGTGGGGAGGGTGAGTGCTGAGGGTGTGGTGAGAGTGAGTGGTGAGTGGTGAGGGTGAGTGGTTAGGATTTGTGATGATGGTGAGTGGTGAGGGCGAGTGTTGATGTTGAGTGGTGAGGGTGTGTGGTGAATAGTAAGGGTGAGTGGTGAGAGTGAGTGGTGAGGGTAAGGGTGAGTGGTCAGTGGTGAGGTTGAGTGGTGAGTAGGAAGGGTGAGTGGTGAGGGTGAGTGGTGGGTGGTGAGGGTGAGTGGTGAGGTTGAGTGGTGAGGGTTAGTGGAGAGTGGTGAGTGGTGATTGGTGAGGGTGAGTGGGGAGGGTGAGTGGCAGTTGTGAGTGGTGATTAGTGAGAGGTGAGTGGTGAGGGTGAGGTTGAGTGGTGAGCGGTGAGGGTGAGCAGTGAGGGTGAGTGGTGATTGGTGAGGGTGCGATTGGTGAGGATGAGTAGTGAGGGTGAGTGGTGAGAGTGAGTGGTGGGTGGTGAGGGTGAGTGGTGAGGTTGAGTGGTGAGGGTTAGTGGAGAGTGGTGAGTGGTGATTGGTGAGGGTGAGTGGGGAGGGTGAGTGGTGAGGTTGAGTGGTGAGGGTTAGTGGAGAGTGGTGAGTGGTGATTGGTCAGGATGAATGGTGAGTAGTGAGGGTGAGGTTGAGTGGTGAGGGTGAGTGGTGGTTATGACGGTGAGTGGTGAGTGGTGAGGGTGAGTGGTGAGGGTGAGTGGTGAGGCAGAATGGTGAGGGTGAATGGTGAGAGTGAGTGGTGAGTGGTGAGGGAGAGTGGTGAGTGGTGATGGTGAGGGGTGAGTGGTGAGGGTGAGTGGTCAGGGTGAGGGGTCAGGGTGAGGGGTGAGTGGTGAGGGTGAGTGATGACGAAGAGTGGTGAGGTTGAGTGGTGAGTAGTAAGGGTGAGTGGTGATGGTGAGGGTTAGTGGTGAAGGTGAGTGGTGAGTGGTCAGTGGTGAGGGATCAGGGTTAGTGGTGAGGGGTGAGGGTGAGGGTGAGTGGTGAGGGTGAGGGGTGAGTGGTGAGGATGAGTGGTGAGGTTGAGTGGTGAGTAGTAAGGGTGAGTGGTGATGGTGAGGGTTAGTGGTGAGGGTGAGTGGTGAGTGGTCAGTGGTGAGGGATCAGGGTTAGTGGTGAGGGTGAGTGGTGACGGTGAGTGGTGAGGGAGAGTGGTGAGGGAGAGTGGTGAGGGAGAGGGGTGAGGTTGAGTGGTGAGGTTAAGTGGTGAGGGTGAGTGGGGAGGGTGAGTGCTGAGGGTGTGGTGAGAGTGAGTGGTGAGTGGTGAGGGTGAGTGGTTAGGATTTGTGATGATGGTGAGTGGTGAGGGCAAGTGTTGATGTTGAGGGTGAGTGGTGAGGGTGTGTGGTGAATAGTAAGGGTGAGTGGTGAGAGTGAGTGGTGAGGGTAAGGGTGAGTGGTGAGTGGTCAGTGGTGAGGTTGAGTGGTGAGTAGGAAGGGTGAGTGGTGAGGGTGAGTGGTGGGTGGTGAGGGTGAGTGGTGAGGTTGAGTGGTGAGTAGGAAGGGTGAGTGGGGAGGGTGACTGGTCAGTGGTGAGGGAGGGGTCAGGGTTAGTGGTGAGGGTGGGTGGTGAGGGTGAGTGGGGAGGGTGAGTGCTGAGGGTGTGGTGAGAGTGAGTGGTGAGGGTGAGTGTTGAGGGTGAGTGGTGAGGGTGTGTGGTGAATAGTAAGGGTGAGTGGTGAGAGTGAGTGGTGATGGTGAGGGGTGAGTGGTGAGGGTGAGTGGTCAGGGTGTGTGGTGAATAGTAAGGGTGAGTGGTGAGAGTGAGGGTGAGTGGTGAGTGGTCAGTGGTGAGGTTGAGTGGTGAGTAGGAAGGGTGAGTGGTGAGTGGGAAGGGTGAGTGGTCAGGGGTGAGGGTTAGTGGTGAGGTTGAGTAGTGAGTAGGAAGGGTGAGTGGGGAGGGTGAGTGGTCAGTGGTGAGGGAGGGGTCAGGGTTAGTGGTGAAGGTGAGTGGTGAGGGTGAGTGGTGAGGGTTAGTGGTGAGGGGTGATTGGTGGTGGTGAGGGTGAGTGGTGAGGGTGAGTGGTGATGGTGAGTAGTGAGGGTGAGTGGTGATGGTGATGGGTGAGTGGTGACGAAGAGTGGTGACGTTGAGTGGTGAGTAGTAAGGGTGAGTGGTGAGGGTGATTGGTTAGGGTTTATGGTGATGGTGAGTGGTGAGGATGAGTGGTGAGGGTGATTAGTGTGTAGTGAGGGTGTGTGGAGAGGGAGAGAGTGAGTGGTGAGCGTGAGTGGTGAGGGTGAGTGGTGGTGGTGAGGGTGAGTGGTAAGCGTGAGTGGTGAGGCAGAGGGTGAGTGGTGAGGGTGAGTGGTGAGGCTGAATGGCCAGGGTGAATGGTGAGAGTGAGTGGTGAGTGGTGAGGCTGAATGGTCAGGGTCAATGGTGAGAGTGAGTGGTGAGGATTAGTGGTGAGGGTGTTTGGTGATTGGTGAGTGGTGACGGTGAGTGGTGAGGGTGAGTGGTGAGGGAGATTGGTGAGGGAGATTGGTGAGTTGTGAGGGTGAATGGTGAGTAGTGAGTGGGAGTGGTGAGTGGTGAGGATGAGTGGTGAGGGCGAGTTGTGAATGGTGAAAGGTATTGTCAAAGCCCACCGGGCTTTGACAATACCTTAGTATCTGTGTATATATGTAAGGTTATTAAGAAATATATTTTTCACCCGGGCAACGCCGGGTACTTCTGCTAGTAGGCTATATAGGGGGCTCTTTGTCTTAATGTCAAAATAATTTAGTCCATTTGGCATTCCAAGACATTCTCAAAGCGCGAAGCTATCACAAAGGAAGGAGCTGTTTCACAGACAGTCTGCAGTGGTTCCACAGTAGGGGCGACATTTCTCTGTGCAATCCCAATTGAGTGATTTCCTGGTAGAAAAAATAATAATTTGGCACATGTGGACCATGACACCGGCACATAATAGGCTACTCATTTCGAATGACCTCACCAGACCTTCCAAGTCCACGGTGAAGCAGAGGGCGCATGGTATGTCATAATTCAATGCACTCATGGTATTAACCAGAGCAGCCTGCCGGATTCGAACTGCGAACCTCTGCAACAAAGCGGCGAACGCGCTACCAATGGGGCCACGTCACTGTGCCCGCCCCCAGGGGTGTGTGTGCGTGTGCGCATGTACGCAAGCCCGCGGATGTGTGTGTGTGCTACCTGGGTAGTGATGCCACACCAGAAGTTGGAGTAGGCAGACCGAGACTCCATCATGGGGGCAACGATCGTGCGGTTCTGGCTGATCAGGAAGGAGATGATTTGCGAGTCCACGATCACGTTGTCTGCATCCACAAACTACGCGCACATGTACGGGACGCACGGGCAACAGCAACGCGACTCGTACAGCCTCGCGACAATATAAATACAAATATCCCCCATATAGCCTTAATACCCTTTTGGGGAAAGTGCTGTTAGCGAGCACCTATGAAGGCTGGCACGGCACACGAGGGGGTGGGTGGCCAGCACTATACACGGCCACCTTTAACAGCCTCACAATGTCACTGTTGCCCTTAAGTGAGCTGCAGGACTCTCCATCAGAAGTTGCCTTAGATTCAGTAGCGGCTTTGCCTTTCGAACATGCGGTGACACGACGAGTCATCATCTTTTGATGCCACCGTCCGCCAATAAATTATTCTGGAAATGAATTGAGGAACCGTCTGGCCAAGTCTAGGGCACGATGGGTCAAATCTGCCTTTGGAACACGGAGCAGCCAACTGTCTCATTGTTTTTTCGTTAAAGTCACATATGTAGAAATAAAATAGCATTTAAATAAATTAAATTAAAATAAATCACGACGTTTTGAAGGCAACACAAGCGCTCATCATCAGGTGGAAATGGGGTGAAACATATAGCGAGGGAACACACAGGGGGACACCACGTACATAGTACATAGAGAACGGCAAACTGCACGGAAGCAAATGCAACAAGAAGATGGGAGACGAGAAACTCAACAGACCTTAGAAACATAATGTGATGCAAACCAGTCGGCCAACAACACAGTTAGACACCAATCTGGTTGACCATGTATTTCAAAAGACTGCTAAATCTCTCGTGTTCATCATCTGGGCTGAACATGCCAACGTAAAACAGAGGACAATGACTCGTGAACAGACACGAGGTACATATACAGAGAAGACACACAGGGAAAGATATTTTTGGGCAGCTCAGAGGGACAACCAGAGCAACACCACACTAAGAGACATACATACATGCAGAGGCACACACAGAAAGACGCCTGGATGAATAACGTACAGAGACTTATATTGGGTGTAGCGGTGGGGGGAGGGGAGGGGCGAAGCGAAAGCAACAAAACATAAGGAAGAACATGGTAAAACAGAAACGACGACAAAAACGACATGGTAAACAAAAACTAAGCAAAATCGCAACACGTAGAGATACATACCGAAAAAAACAATGAGTATAATTTCTGCAGTCACGAAAGCTTCAATCCTAGATTACCAGCAAATCATCATCAGGCTGGGTGCTGCTAAACGCCAATAGAATGTGACGCTTCGTGTTCAGCCGCTCATGTAAACATTAATCTTCCGACTGCTTCGACATCACAACAACTGATTTTGACGCACCACCACCCCGCAAGATTTTCAGACCGGGGTTGTTAATTATGGGAAAATAAATCATTATTGCGATTAATGTGCTTTTTTTTATTCTGTGCACCACCACCGACGTCCCACCAATATGTTCACATGTTACTTCATGCAGTGAGTTACTGAGGAGCAAATATTCTGAGGTTTGCAGACAGCCGTGCGTGTATGACTGCTGAACAGTGCGTATACACAGTCGAATTGCACAGCTGTACACTTTGCAAACAAATACAGGCAAAGTTTACGACCTTTCTAAACTCTGCGCAGAAAGCCACCAACGTAAACACGAACAATGGCTTGCGCTCACATGCAGAAGCAATGCACGCACGTGCTGAATGGTCGTAAAACGCAAGTCCACCAGGGCAAATAAAAAAAAATCTGAATCAATTAATTCACGCAGAAATCAGTGTGGCACGTGACAGCACAGGTTGCGTGGCGCTGCACTGCACTGAGTTCAATCCCCACTCACGATCAATCACAGTGGCAGCAAATACTTGAACTTGTTCTGGGCCTCCCTTAGGTCAACTCAACCTTCCTTAAACAAGTGCCTGGTGCAGTGTGTAAAAACATTAGCATCGAGGAGACGAAGGTGGCCGGGCGTGGTGCTGGCCCTCACCCCCTCATATGCCGTACCAGCTTTGTATATACGTATGTTAAACTTATTTTGCATCGTACGTAGCCAACCGTGCTAAACGGAGGTGCAGAACTATCATAGATGCTCGCTAACAGCACTTTCCCAGACAGTCTGTTGAAGGCCATACTGCATGGGAGACCTTTTGTCTTTGCTGTACACAGCCCTACGGAAAGCCACACACGACAAGGCTTCATCAAGCGTGGACTACGCACCGCTCACTGTCCTAGTCCTGTACTTATCAAGGCCCGGTTGAGCGTGGGCGACCGTGTCTACACATGGTAGAAGCCGCCCGTGATACGGGGGAGGGGGGGGGCACTCACAAAGATGAAGTCGGACCAGCGATTGCGGGCGTGCATCAGCGCTGTTTGCCGTAGCCGCATGACGTGGTCGTAGCGCGAGGATGGCCAGTGCCGCGGGCCGATCTCGTCTGCGTAAAACCTGGGGGCACGTGCCAACATCAACACACCAGACGCTAACCACCGCCGCCAACATCATTAGAATTCTCAACCAGTCAGCCAAAATGGGTTTTTATTAGAATTGGCAATCGGGGCACTATTCGAGTCGTGAGAACGATCAATCGGCAACCAATGGAATGACCGGAATTGTGAATCATTCTGTGATGGAATTATTTATTATTTTACGGGCAATAATTACGTCAACTTGCAATGTACACTCAAAGAATGAGACAGAACGACTCAGGAGCGAGAAGGAACCACAGACGAGCAGGAAAGCAGCAGCAACGCTGTGAGCCGGCGCCAACAATTGTCTTCATCGGTGCAAGTAACGAGTGCTTACATGCGAGACAAAACCGGAGCGCCCAGAGAAAACCCACGCGTGCAAGGGAGAAACACTAAATTTCATACAGATGGAACAGATGGGACCGAGTCAGAGTATGGTATCTCTTCAATGCACACAGGAAGGGAGTCTTTCAGCATCTGTGCAGCGATGCAGCAACCCTCTGCTGCCTACAATGCACTTGGCCGACAGGCCGCGTGCAGTGGAATCACCACTGCCCAGCTAGGGGTCAAGTCTGGGTGAGCAGAGACCTCAATCACTCGTCTCTCCCGCGCGCACGCACGCATGCACGCACCTGGGCTGGTCCTTGTGCGTCCACGCCACGTGGTGGTATGTGTGGCCCACGGCCGACAGCCACTCCTCCAGCATGGCCGTCGTGTTGTCCACGTTGTGGTCAGTGGCGATCCTGCAAGGGTGGAGACCACGCACCCTGGCTCAACAGGCGAGCGAGAATCCCTTGCGGGCCTTCGCAGAGTGTTAACGAGCAGACAGTACGCCTCCTGCGGATACACATCTGTCCCCTATACAAGCGTTGTTTACACATCCCATCAGCCACACAGCCTCCTTCTGGGAGTGCACAGTACCAGCAGCATTGGTTCAAGATAAGAAAACTCTGGACAGGTTTCGACATTCAGTGTTTCATCAGCTGGGTCAGGCCAGCTCGAAGCAAGTCTGGTGAACTACTCTAGTTATTTTTTTTTCATTTACGTTTGTTTCCCCAAGCAGGCCTCACCGAGTCTTCAGACCCCTTCTGGGGGTCCACCCGTGGCTACCACTTCACGGTGTTCCTCCCCACAGAGAACTCCGTCTGCTGTCGCCAGTCCCGCCTGTGGTAGTGCGCCTTAGTGTCTAAATCTTATGTAGTCTTTTTTGTATTACTTTAGTATAAATACATGTTAATTTTGATTCATATGTTATTTTTTTCTAACTTTATGTGAACGAAAAGACACATTCGCCCGTTTTCTCATTGAAAATAGGTACATTTCAAAATATCACTGTCCTGGTCACAAAAGCAAAGTTTCTGGGGAATAATAGCCATTTTCTGTACTATTGAGGCATAAGCCATTAGGAAATAGCTTACTACCCAGGAACAAAAAATTGTATTACATCGTGTTATTAATATTACAAAATAATGGCCACCATACTGCAGAGCCAGCATGTGCAGGACAGGCACGGTGGACACCAGATCTTACAGCGCTGCCTCTGGAAGACTTCCAAGCAGAAACATTGCCACGTGTGTGCTTGTGCACACCACACATGGCTCTACGATGATTGGGAGCGGTCTGATCGCTGGAAGGAGGGAAACTGCTTTCACAAATAACGGTAAACACGACCCTCGCTATCTTATCGGTAACTCCTGTTATTCATGGGAACCAATCAATCGGCAATCCATCCTGTTATCTGCCGATTCCACTGTCCATCAATGCATGGAAAAGAAGAATGAAACACTTCAGGAACGCGATTATCTTCCAGTGATTATTATAAGAGACAGGAGGAGTTGTGCTCAACGTTGAACATGCTGTAAACATTTCCTGGGGATGAGACAGGTTAAGGGATAGAACTGTGTAGGACAGTGTTCTTCATTGCAAGGCCCGCGGGCCACTGGCGGCCCCTGGTGGCCTTTCGTGCCGCTCCTGATGTGCAGCCCCCGACAATACACAAATGGTGAAAACACCCCCCATCATCATCGTGCTGTCAAATCCCCAATGGTTTCAAATGGGTGGCGATCCTCACACTGATGTCTTATCGGCGAAAGTGGCCTCCACTCTGAAAATTAGTGAAGAACACTGGGTTAAGGTATTGGAAGAGATGGGAGTTCATGTAATTTGTGGCCAGGTCTGTATAGCTCAGTGGGCCTTACCTGATCAAATAAAAGCGGTTTATAGTTTGAGTTTCATAGATAGTTTAAGTCCCTTCCCAGGCCATCGCCTTCTCTCGCGATGCAGCAATCCATCACGCTCCTACACACGAGCCGATTTCATGGTTCTGTGCTCATGGCAGATGCATTCCCTCCCTTACGTTGGCGTAGACCAAAGTATGTTCCGCAGACCTACATTCAGCGTGTCACTGTTGAAGCTTTGTGCGTGATGGCCCCTCGTAGGCGCTGCTCAAGGGCACGTTTCGTGTTAAACGCCCACATGGCAAGTACAGCGCTCTGCTAGATCACCACAGACGTTCCGACGTGCAACAGGAATCTCTCACCGCTGCTATTCCTTGTTAAGGCTTACCGAACTCAGGTTGAAGGCATGAATGCATTAGCTCCTGCCCGTCCGTCTACCCGTGTCACAGTAACCATCGTAGAGATGATCCAGTATTTGAAAACGCTTCAGTAGAAGTGCATGTGTTAACTATTAAGGATTTACAGGAAACAGCAAGTTGATTAAAGTGGTACTTCAAGACGTGGTAATGAAAACTATCCTGATGACACCTTTACACGACAGACGACACCGCACCAGTCATTCGGTCACCTTCTGGAAGACATCTCTCTCAATGTAAAGCAGCGCGTTCAAAACCATTTTGTGGAAGACAGACGGACGGTCCCCATTGCACCGTATTGTTCTCGTTATAAGACACACGTGCCTTCCCCCAGCATCCACTCACGAACAAAATTAACCCAACATTTATGGGTGCATCTGTAGGGCTGTTACAGAGGGGCTGTTTGTGTAGGGCTGTTTGCATAGGGGCTAACGGATAACAAACACAGTGGGCGGGGACTCCGTGAGCACACGGGGTGGTGCCCGCAACGACGTCCGTACTGGACGGCGTGAGGGGGGTTTCGATCCTCTAGGGGGGTATAAAAAGGGTTGAGCCAGAGAGCTCGGGGCTCAGTCTTAGTGTAGTTAAGGGAAGAGAGAAGACCGGCCAGATAGGCCCTGGACTCCCCCTGGGACGCCGCCCTTGTAAGGGCAGTGCAGGCTGGAGCCAGTGGCGTGGTCCCGGAACCAGAGTCAGACCTCTGGGATTCCGGGTACCGTAGCCCGACTGACCAGTGTCGGGCCAGACAGCCTCCCCTAGCCCGTTAGCGGAGGACTCGGCTAGGAAGGCTAGCTAGGGGTGAATTCCCAGTTGTACGGGTGAGGGGGCCGATACATCCCTCCAGTATTGTAAAGACATTGTGCAAATAAATACGTGTGCCTTACCCCGTTGTCCACGCGTCTTCAAGAACACTTCACATCTAACAATATGGTTTTGATTACTAAGGGCATGGGGTTCATCAGTGAGGGGAATATTGCAGTAGTTCATTTCCAGGCCACACCGCGGGCCACTAGCGGGCCCTGGTAGCCTTCTCGTGCGGCCGCTGATGTGCCGCCCCCGACAATACACAAATAGTTAAAACAATACACAAATAGTGAAAACATCCCCCATAATCATCATCATTGTGCTGCTTTCAAACACAACAATGGTTTCACGTGTGACGGCCCTCACACACTGACGATGTCTTTTCAGCAAAAGTTCCCACCCCCCACCCTGAAAATGAGAGAAGAACACTGGGCTTCAGGTATTGGCAGAGATGGAAGTTGATGTCAAAGTGGCACGAAGAGGCGGGTGGCACAGCGGGTGATTGTTCAGCACTAGCGCACAGATGAGGTCGCCTCTCCCCTTGATCTAAGCGTGCACCCTCCTCTCTCGTCCATGGCTCGGCAGCAGTGAGCGAGCTGCGTTCTGTTTCGTGTAGGCCACGCAATAAGAGAGGGAAGGTTTGTTCATTACAAGTGTGACGGAGCTCTTGGATGGGCTGCTCTTGGAGACGCCTACGTTGTGGCCCGGCGGTAGTGCGAGCGACTCGCAAGTTCGAGTCCTCACTGGGGTGGAGGAGGGTGTTGACTCAGCCCATTATGCCTCCGGGGGTCGATACAATGGGTACCGCTCTGTTGGGGAAGTCACCAGTGGTTGTCCTGCAGCGAGACTCGCCCCCACTCATCTAGGAATGTGGAATTTACATCGCGGACTCAGTACTGAGGACTGAAAACTGGAGATGGGCAGCAATGCCCGAATGCTCATTACAGAAGGAGAAAATCCCTTTTGCTCTGACCGCACTCTATTGATTTATACGCAGGTTGGTTCATTGATAATTCCAGTATTTTGTTTTACCAAGGTAATTTTGTTTTAATTACCTTGCGTTATAAGGGACTCACATTTCAAAGCTAAACAAAGTGCATTAGCTCGTCACTGTGAGTGATGTCAGCTGTCCTCGTTGCTCACGGGGTTACAGAGTCGAGAGAGGTCGAGAGAGTGGCAGGTCGAGGCTTCGCGGGGAGTGTTCAGCAGATAATGGCAGCAGATAGTGTGGTGGTGCTGGTGATGATGGTGATGAGGGTGGTGGTGGTGGTGATGAGTGTGGTGGTTGATGGTGGTGGTGATGAGGGTGGTGGTTGATGGTGGTGGTTATGAGGGTGGTGGTGATATGGGTCATGGTTAATGGTGGTAATGATGAGGGTGGTGCTGGTAATGATGAGGGTGGTGGTAGTGATGAGGGTGGTGGTTAACGGTGGTGATGATTGTGGTGACGTGAGCCAAGTGATGAAACAGGTTGTGTGAGCCTTGCGTGGGAAGAATGTCACCAGAAATTAGTGAGGATTTGAGAGGTCACTGAGAGTGAGGGTGAATGGAGAGTGCGAGTGTGAATGAGAGTGAATGAGAGTGCATGTGAGAGTGAATGAGAGTAGGTGAGAGAGAATGAGTGGGTGAGAGTAAATGAGAGTGGGTGAGTGCATGAGAGTGAATGAGAGTGGGTGAGAGAGAATGATAGTAGGTGAGAGAGAATGATAGTAGGTGAGAGTGAATGAGAGTGGGTGAGTGAATGAGAGTAGGTGAGAGTGCATGAGAGTGAATGAGAGTGGGTGAGTGCATGAGAGTGAATGAGAGTGGGTGAGGGTGAGAGTGAATGAGAGTGGGTGAGTGCATGAGAGTGAATGAGAGTGGGTGAGGGTGAGAGTGAATGAGAGTGGGTGAGTGCATGAGAGTGAATGAGAGTGGGTGAGTGCATGAGAGTGAATGAGAGGGGGTGAGTGCATGAGAGTGAATGAGAGTGGGTGAGGGTGAGAGTGAATGAGAGTGGGTTAGTGCGAGAGTGAATGAGAGTGGGTGAGTGCATGAGAGTGCATGAGAGTGGGTGAGTGCATGAGAGTGAATGAGAGTGGGTGAGTGCATGAGAGTGAATGAGAGTGGGTGAGAGTGAATGAGAGTGGGTGAGTGCATGAGAGTGAATGAGAGTGGGTGAGGGTGAGAGTGAATGAGAGTGGGTGAGGGTGAATGAGAGTGAATGAGAGTGGGTGAGTGCATGAGAGTGAATGAGAGTGGGTGAGTGCATGAGAGTGAATGAGAGTGGGTGAGGGTGAGAGTGAATGAGAGTGGGTGAGGGTGAGAGTGAATGAGAGTGGGTGAGTGCATGAGAGTGAATGAGAGTGGGTGAGTGCATGAGAGTGAATGAGAGTGGGTGAGTGCATGAGAGTGAATGAGAGTGGGTGAGGGTGAGAGTGGGTGAGGGTGAGAGTGAATGAGAGTGGGTGAGTGCATGAGAGTGAATGAGAGTGGGTGAGTGGGTGAGTGCATGAGAGTGAATGAGAGTGGGTGAGGGTGAGAGTGAATGAGAGTGGGTGAGGGTGAGAGTGAATGAGTGGGTGAGTGCATGAGAGTAAATGAGAGTGGGTGAGTGCATGAGAGTGAATGAGAGTGGGTGAGGGTGAGAGTGAATGAGTGGGTGAGTGCATGAGAGTAAATTAGAGTGGGTGAGTGCATGAGAGTGAATGAGTGGGTGAGTGCATGAGAGTGAATGAGAGTGGGTGAGGGTGAGAGTGAATGAGTGGGTGAGGGTGAGAGTGAATGAGTGGGTGAGTGCATGAGAGTAAATTAAAGTGGGTGAGTGCATGAGGGTGAATGGGAGTGGGTGAGTGCATGAGAGTGAATGGGAGTGGGTGAGTGCATGAGAGTGAATGAGAGTGGGTGAGGGTGAGAGTGAATGGGAGTGGGTGAGTGCATGAGAGTGAATGAGAGTGGGTGAGTGCATGAGAGTGAATGAGTGGGTGAGTGCATGAGAGTGAATGAGTGGGTGAGTGCATGAGAGTGAATGAGTGGGTGAGTGCATGAGAGTGAATGGGAGTGGGTGAGTGCATGAGAGTGAATGAGAGTGGGTGAGAGTGAATGAGTGGGTGAGTGCATGAGAGTGAATGGGAGTGGGTGAGTGCATGAGAGTGAATGAGAGTGGGTGAGTGCATGAGAGTGAATGGGAGTGGGTGAGGGTGAGAGTGAATGAGTGGGTGAGTGCATGAGAGTGAATGGGAGTGGGTGAGTGCATGAGAGTGAATGAGAGTGGGTGAGTGCATGAGAGTGAATGGGAGTGGGTGAGGGTGAGAGTGAATGAGTGGGTGAGTGCATGAGAGTGAATGGGAGTGGGTGAGTGCATGAGAGTGAATGAGTGGGTGAGTGCATGAGAGTGAATGAGAGTGGGTGAGGGTGAGAGTGAATGAGTTGGTGAGTGCATGAGAGTGAATGGGAGTGGGTGAGTGCATGAGAGTGAATGAGAGTGGGTGAGTGCATGAGAGTGAATGGGAGTGGGTGAGAGTGAATGAGTGGGTGAGTGCATGAGAGTGAATGGGAGTGGGTGAGTGCATGAGAGTGAATGAGAGTGGGTGAGTGCATGAGAGTGAATGGGAGTGGGTGAGGGTGAGAGTGAATGAGTGGGTGAGTGCATGAGAGTGAATGGGAGTGGGTGAGTGCATGAGAGTGAATGAGAGTGGGTGAGAGTGAATGGGAGTGGGTGAGGGTGAGAGTGAATGAGTGGGTGAGTGCATGAGTGAATGGGAGTGGGTGAGTGCATGAGTGAATGGGAGTGGGTGAGTGCATGAGAGTGAATGGGAGTGGGTGAGTGCATGAGAGTGAATGAGAGTGGGTGAGAGTGAATGGGAGTGGGTGAGGGTGAGAGTGAATGGGAGTGGGTGAGTGCATGAGAGTGAATGGGAGTGGGTGAGTGCATGAGAGTGAATGGGAGTGGGTGAGTGCATGAGAGTGAATGGGAGAGGGTGAGGGTGAGAGTGAATGAGTGGGTGAGTGCATGAGAGTGAATGAGAGTGGGTGAGGGTGAGAGTGAATGAGAGTGGGTGAGGGTGAGAGTGAATGAGAGTGGGTGAGTGCATGAGAGTGAATGAGAGTGGGTGAGGGTGAGAGTGAATGAGAGTGGGTGAGTGCATGAGAGTGAATGAGAGTGGGTGAGTGCATGAGAGTGAATGAGAGTGGGTGAGTGCATGAGAGTGAATGAGAGTGGGTGAGGGTGAGAGTGAATGAGAGTGGGTGAGTGCATGAGAGTGAATGAGAGTGGGTGAGTGCATGAGAGTGAATGAGAGTGGGTGAGTGCATGGGAGTGAATGAGAGTGGGTGAGTGCATGAGAGTGAATGAGAGTGGGTGAGGGTGAGAGTGGGTGAGGGTGAGAGTGAATGAGAGTGGGTGAGTGCATGAGAGTGAATGAGAGTGGGTGAGTGCATGAGAGTGAATGAGAGTGGGTGAGGGTGAGAGTGAATGAGAGTGGGTGAGAGTGAGAGTGAATGAGTGGGTGAGTGCATGAGAGTAAATGAGAGTGGGTGAGTGCATGAGAGTGAATGAGAGTGGGTGAGGGTGAGGGTGAATGAGTGGGTGAGGGTGAGAGTGAATGAGTGGGTGAGTGCATGAGAGTAAATTAGAGTGGGTGAGTGCATGAGAGTGAATGAGTGGGTGAGTGCATGAGAGTGAATGAGAGTGGGTGAGGGTGAGAGTGAATGAGTGGGTGAGGGTGAGAGTGAATGAGTGGGTGAGTGCATGAGAGTAAATTAGAGTGGGTGAGTGCATGAGGGTGAATGGGAGTGGGTGAGTGCATGAGAGTGAATGGGAGTGGGTGAGTGCATGAGAGTGAATGAGAGTGGGTGAGAGTGAATGGGAGTGGGTGAGTGCATGAGAGTGAATGGGAGTGGGTGAGTGCATGAGAGTGAATGAGAGTGGGTGAGTGCATGAGAGTGAATGGGAGTGGGTGAGTGCATGAGAGTGAATGAGTGGGTGAGTGCATGAGAGTGAATGGGAGTGGGTGAGTGCATGAGAGTGAATGAGAGTGGGTGAGAGTGAATGAGTGGGTGAGTGCATGAGAGTGAATGGGAGTGGGTGAGTGCATGAGAGTGAATGAGAGTGGGTGAGTGCATGAGAGTGAATGGGAGTGGGTGAGTGCATGAGAGTGAATGAGAGTGGGTGAGGGTGAGAGTGAATGGGAGTGGGTGAGTGCATGAGAGTGAATGAGAGTGGGTGAGTGCATGAGAGTGAATGAGTGGGTGAGTGCATGAGAGTGAATGGGAGTGGGTGAGTGCATGAGAGTGAATGGGAGTGGGTGAGGGTGAGAGTGAATGAGTGGGTGAGTGCATGAGAGTGAATGGGAGTGGGTGAGTGCATGAGAGTGAATGAGAGTGGGTGAGTGCATGAGAGTGAATGGGAGTGGGTGAGGGTGAGAGTGAATGAGTGGGTGAGTGCATGAGAGTGAATGGGAGTGGGTGAGTGCATGAGAGTGAATGAGAGTGGGTGAGTGCATGAGAGTGAATGGGAGTGGGTGAGGGTGAGAGTGAATGAGTGGGTGAGTGCATGAGAGTGAATGGGAGTGGGTGAGTGCATGAGAGTGAATGGGAGTGGGTGAGGGTGAGAGTGAATGAGTGGGTGAGTGCATGAGAGTAAATGAGAGTGGGTGAGTGCATGAGAGTGAATGAGAGTGGGTGAGGGTGAGGGTGAATGAGTGGGTGAGGGTGAGAGTGAATGAGTGGGTGAGTGCATGAGAGTAAATTAGAGTGGGTGAGTGCATGAGAGTGAATGAGTGGGTGAGTGCATGAGAGTGAATGAGAGTGGGTGAGGGTGAGAGTGAATGAGTGGGTGAGGGTGAGAGTGAATGAGTGGGTGAGTGCATGAGAGTAAATTAGAGTGGGTGAGTGCATGAGGGTGAATGGGAGTGGGTGAGTGCATGAGAGTGAATGGGAGTGGGTGAGTGCATGAGAGTGAATGAGAGTGGGTGAGAGTGAATGGGAGTGGGTGAGTGCATGAGAGTGAATGGGAGTGGGTGAGTGCATGAGAGTGAATGAGAGTGGGTGAGTGCATGAGAGTGAATGGGAGTGGGTGAGTGCATGAGAGTGAATGAGTGGGTGAGTGCATGAGAGTGAATGGGAGTGGGTGAGTGCATGAGAGTGAATGAGAGTGGGTGAGAGTGAATGAGTGGGTGAGTGCATGAGAGTGAATGGGAGTGGGTGAGTGCATGAGAGTGAATGAGAGTGGGTGAGTGCATGAGAGTGAATGGGAGTGGGTGAGTGCATGAGAGTGAATGAGAGTGGGTGAGGGTGAGAGTGAATGGGAGTGGGTGAGTGCATGAGAGTGAATGAGAGTGGGTGAGTGCATGAGAGTGAATGAGTGGGTGAGTGCATGAGAGTGAATGGGAGTGGGTGAGTGCATGAGAGTGAATGGGAGTGGGTGAGGGTGAGAGTGAATGAGTGGGTGAGTGCATGAGAGTGAATGGGAGTGGGTGAGTGCATGAGAGTGAATGAGAGTGGGTGAGTGCATGAGAGTGAATGGGAGTGGGTGAGGGTGAGAGTGAATGAGTGGGTGAGTGCATGAGAGTGAATGGGAGTGGGTGAGTGCATGAGAGTGAATGAGAGTGGGTGAGTGCATGAGAGTGAATGGGAGTGGGTGAGGGTGAGAGTGAATGAGTGGGTGAGTGCATGAGAGTGAATGGGAGTGGGTGAGTGCATGAGAGTGAATGGGAGTGGGTGAGGGTGAGAGTGAATGAGTGGGTGAGTGCATGAGAGTGAATGGGAGTGGGTGAGTGCATGAGAGTGAATGGGAGTGGGTGAGTGCATGAGAGTGAATGGGAGTGGGTGAGGGGGGCTCCCACCAGAGCGCCGTGCGGTCCCGCGGGTGCGCCATCCTCTCGATGCCAAGCAGCGCGTACGGCAGCGAGTGGGCCGCGTTGCGCGCCAGCAGCGCCACGGTGACCGTGGGGCTCCGCGAGGGGCCCTCGCCCGCGAGCCGCTCCTCCATGAAGTAGCAGCTGGCGGGCCGCGACACCCACGGGCTCAGCAGCAGCAGCAGCAAGGGCAGCAGCAGCAGCAGGGGGCGCGGGCCCCACGCGGGCAGGGACCGCGAGGCAGGCATCGGGGAGAGCGAGGAGATGGCAGCAGGAGAGCGAGAGGATGGCGGGTGGATGGTGAGGGGAGAGCAAGAGGAGAGCGAGGGGAGAGCGGGAGAAGAGGGGATGGTGAGGGGAGAGCGAGAGGAGAGCGGGAGAAGAGCGAGGGGATGGTGAGGGGAGAGCGAGGGGATGGTGAGGGGAGAGCGAGGGGATGGTGAGGGGAGAGCGAGGGGATGGTGAGGGGAGAGCGAGGGGATGGTGAGGGGAGAGCGAGGGGAGAGCGAGGGGATGGTGAGGGGAGAGCGGGAGGAGAGCGAGGGGAGAGCGAGGGGATGGTGAGGGGAGAGCGAGGGGATGGTGAGGGGAGAGCGAGAGGAGAGCGAGGGGATGGTGAGGGGAGAGCGAGGGGATGGTGAGGGGAGAGCGAGGGGATGGTGAGGGGAGAGCGAGGGGAGAGCGAGAGGAGAGCGAGGGGAGAGCGAGGGGAGAGCGGGAGGAGAGCGAGGGGATGGTGAGGGGAGAGCGAGGGGATGGTGAGGGGAGAGCGAGGGGAGAGCGAGGGGATGGTGAGGGGAGAGCGAGAGGAGAGCGAGGGGATGGTGAGGGGAGAGCGGGAGGAGAGCGAGGGGATGGTGAGGGGAGAGCGAGGGGATGGTGAGGGGAGAGCGAGGGGAGAGCGAGGGGATGGTGAGGGGAGAGCGAGAGGAGAGCGAGGGGATGGTGAGGGGAGAGCGGGAGGAGAGCGAGGGGAGAGCGAGGGGAGGGCGAGGGGATGGTGAGGGGAGAGCGGGAGGAGAGCGAGGGGAGAGCGAGGGGATGGTGAGGGGAGAGCGAGGGGATGGTGAGGGGAGAGCGGGAGGAGAGCGAGGGGAGAGCGAGGGGAGAGCGGGAGGAGAGCGAGGGGATGGTGAGGGGAGAGCGGGAGGAGAGCGAGGGGATGGTGAGGGGAGAGCGAGGGGATGGTGAGGGGAGAGCGAGAGGAGAGCGAGGGGAGAGCGGGAGGAGAGCGAGGGGATGGTGAGGGGAGAGCGAGGGGATGGTGAGGGGAGAGCGAGGGGATGGTGAGGGGAGAGCGAGGGGAGGACCCGGGGGATCCGTGGGGAGAGGACTCGGGGCGAGCGAGGAGACGGAGCGCACCGGGGAGAGCGAGTCGGCTCACACGGCGGCGGCCTCGGCAAACAGGAGGAGGAGATGGAGGAGGGGGGCGTGGACTGGCCACACATGGGCAAAGGGAGGCGGGATTCGTGGAATGACGATGCTCGCACGCTTCCAGCGTCGAACAGCTATATCGATCGTTTAAATACCCGCGCATCCACAAGTTCAAAGTTACTGTGCTGTACAAGTGTAAACGTTTATTGAGGGACTGTGGTGCTGCATTGGTGTGGTCTGAGATAGGGCTGAACGATTAATCGATTTCAAATCGAAATTTGAAACAATGCGATTAGCAATTCGCAAAGGCTGCGATTTTTTTCGGTTTTCCAAGTCCGATTGCTTTCGTATTGTAATTGTTTTATTTGTATTACTATAACTTAGTTTATTTAACTTAACAATTGTTATATGTTTGATAGTTCCATTTCAATTAAAACATTTTAATAAATACACGTTGGAAGCAATTAAGATATTTTAAGTTCTCATCCTTGCATTATAATGTATATATCAGTTCATATTTTTATGGTATCATGTAGTAATACTCCATCACATGTTTTAAATCTATTACACAGTGAATATTGAACTGAAGCTTGACTTTAAAAAAAATTTAATCACAAATCAAGTAGCAATATTTTTCAGAAAAATCACAATTCGATATTTTCCCCAAATCGTTCAGCCCTCGTCTGACTGTTTTCTGCTGTTGTCTGTCTTAGCACAGATTGGGAATGGACCTCCTTATGCAATTTGAACTTATAAACTTTATTTTTAGCTATTTGCTGACCTTTCCAATACTTTGCACTCCCGTCGTTTTTCTTTCTGACCCCGTGCCCCTTACTGGACATCTCATCTGATTTCCCCAGGATAAATAGAGATTCTGAAAGATTATTATTTTGTCTGTCTCGTCACGTAAAAAAACTATATATGTGTTTTACACATCCCATCAGCCACACACGCCGCTTCCTTCTGGGCTGTGTGGCAGATCGTTACTGAGCATTGACTCGGTAACGCGTAAATTAAAACTATGGACCGGTTTCCATATTCACCATCTCATCAACAACAACATCCATCTGGTCGTTCACCAGCATTGGTTCAAGTCAGTCTGACGCTGCTGATGGGGACACTGTTGAAACTAGTCCAGAGTTTTTCTTGTGCTGAACCGAAATTCTGCAGTCCCAGAAGGCCGTGTGGCTGATGGGATGTCAAACATTTTTTTAACGTCGAGAAACGGACATGGAGGCGTATTGTCGCCTAATTTGGGCCGTGTCGCTGATGGAATGTGTAAACGTACTTTTACTTTTTGTGTGTGGACAGATTACGAGCAAAAAAGCCACCTTAATCATGTGTTCCTTATAGTCCCTGCAATAACTCTCTTGATTTCCATGAGACGACTGTTCTTTGGAGAGAGGAGTGCAAGGGTCACAGGATCCGGCTGGTGATCCTAAACAGAGGGGGGATGATTCAGGGCCGGATGAATGTGTCTTGGAGGCCCTAGGCACTTCTGTTTCGTAGGCCTTCAGTGATAACTCTAGATGGTACTGCTGCTGCCCGCGTTACTACTACCACCACTGTCACTCCGCTTGATCCACGCGTACTTCGTCCATAGCACACCAACGCCGCCTTGTCTTCCCTTGCTACTATCTATTGAGAATGAGGTTGTGCAAACAACACAATTTGAATATGTTGTTGCGAATTTTGCAATTAACAAAATCTCAAAAACGTTAATCTCCGGTGTTAATTTCTCTCATCTTATGAAAAAACATGGACATGACGGCCTCTGCATCTACACTGTGCCTATCTTTGCTATATCAATATATTCAAGAAGATATCTTAATGTATTTTTTGATCATACAAAGAAAATAACATGGTCAACGCATTTTTTCGTAGGCCCTAGGCACAGTCTACTGTGGTCTATTGAATAACACGCCCCTGGGATGAGGTTGGTGGTGGATGCCACTTGCCAGCTCGGGCCATGTGCTGAGCACTTGTGTTGAACTGAGGGGCTCACACATTGAGGCCCTGCCCTCTAGCCATGCAGGGCTTGCTGGCATGGGTTTAATTTCACAGAAACCGAAACCCGATTGCTCTATATATTTTTTCCCGAGCTAAAAATATCATGGGTGTACAGTAGAGGGGTAGAGCAAAATACACTTGCAGGCATATACCACAGGTTGTTCTTTTATTAATGCACTTGCACTTAGCCGCAAAGGTGTGTGAACTTTTTAATAAAGATATTCGTCCTTGCCATATGAATGTGGAATTTGCACGACTGATCCACGCCCAGCTGGTAATATACCTGGACACTACTGTAGATATTTTTTTCTCGATACACATTCACATGTTGCTTTTCGTTACGTTACATATTCAAAAGGCACCACAAACCTCATAGCATCAATGTTTAGCCACAACGTCATTAAATTGCCCCAATATTTTCTCAGAATTCCCATCGGTTGTGGATGGTACACGGGTTCCCACTGGTAGTTGTCACTTTGGAGAATATAATTAGGGTCGCCATCGGTCTGAGAATTGGCACGATCTGTGTTCGGGTGGCAGGAATGATTTGTTCCAAGATCTGGTACCGATATTGTGTTGAAATGTATTATGGTAAGCTACACAATTTAGATAGCAGACCTAGTGCTGACTCCGAGGTATGTCTGGGTTTGGTCTACAGTGGAGAAGGTGGCGACCTGAGATTAGACTCCAAGTGAGAACAAAAATCCGACATAATTCTACCGCTTAAGACAGACAACCGTAAAACCCCGATTTAAAATACCACTTAAAACAGCCCATGCTTATTACACGTCAATTGAATTATAATTATGATGCCACGTACATTTTGAATTTGTTAAATGTTTTAAATTCTTAAACGTGTTAAATGTTAAATAACACAAGGCCAATTCCATAACTGTACAAATGACACATGAGAGTAATAATATATTGCCTTCAGTACAGTACAGTGCATATCATTTATGGCAAAAAAATTGTGCTTGTAAGGCGTAACTATGGCACATGTCCATGACATCAAACAACATGCAGAACAAGCCGAAAAAACTGAGCATACCACTTTATATTAAAATATAAATCTCAAAGTAATTCACGCATTAGTTAAAACTATATAAAATATTTAAAACTATTTTTTATTTTACCAGGTAAGGCTCACTGAGCTATGTGGCTCTTTTTCAGAAGCGACCAGGCCACAAATGATAGCTCAACGAAGTGGCTTATCACGTGGAAATATAGCAGCCAAACGCTCTAAAGTTGATGAAGCAACCCATACAATATAAGCATCTGCTATTTAATTGATACACACCTACATCGTGTCCCGGGATGTTTTAAAGACACAATGCATGTTATGATTATCTGTGGATGTGATGTTTCAAGAGTGAGTTAAGGCTCCTGTAAGGAAAGTGTGTGGTCGAGATCTTGCACCAGAGGATCTCTTCCCCTCAATCTCGCTGAAGCCTGCAAAAGACAAAGACCTCCTGTATAACCTTTGACTGTTGTGGCAAGTGTTGTTAGCGAGCACCTATGAAAGCCAACACGGCACACGAGAGGGTGGGTGGCCAGAACCACGCCCGGCCACCTGGTTGATAAAAAAAAATCTGTAGCAGTCTCACTCGCATCGCAGACGGCATCTACGATGCGTGGCAGGCGGTGATCTGCTAGACCTGCGAACATACCTCGCATGCTATGACCCCAGCGCAGATTGGGGGTTTCCGGCCCCTGGAACGAGCTCCCGGTGGCTGATGTTCGGGGTCTATTCCCGAGTCTGAGTCAGTTTCGCAACATACTTAAAACAGTGCCGTTATTACAAAGAGCCTACTTCGTGTGATCAGCTTGGCGTATTCATAATGGGCTGGACTCATACGAGTGCACGATAACAAACGTTCAGACTTACTATCTACGACGGGGAGGGATATCATCCAGTCGAGAAACAGCACCACACTGTATTTTCTAAAAGCTGAACAAATTCGGTAGTCAGAATATCTGCTACAGAATGGTTCCTACAGCCACAGATTAATTTCTAAAGATAACCAGCAAGACAACGAGCCTTCTGCTTCTTGACAGCGGACCTACGGTCCTCTTGAAGTGGCTGCGCCCGCCGACTGCGGCTGCCGCCGCCGGCCCTACTGCTGCAGGCGACTCACGGTTTTCGGCCGGCGCAGGGCGGCGCACGGAGGCGGCGGACTCGGCGAGGACGGGCCCGGCGTGAGCGCGTGCTGGGCCAAGCGGACCGACATGGGCGCCGAGGGCAGTTGCACGACCTTACCTGGTGATCAAAGGCAGAGCACCCCACGCGTAGCCTTAGCAGAAACCGTGGGGGCAAGTGCTGTTAGTGAGTGGCACCACGTGGGGGTGGGTGGCCAGCAACACGCCCGGCCGCCTTTCGTCTCCGCCAGTGGCGATGTTATTAATACACCACACGGGGTGCTCATTTGAGGCTGACTTGACTTAGGGGAGGCCCAGGACCGGTTCAGATAATCGTCACTGACATTGGCCGTGAACGGGATTCAAACTCGGTGGGTCGCCAGGTTTAAAGTACAGTGCGCTAACCGCGACACTGCCTGGCGGTCGTGCACACACATGCACGCGAGTTGCAGATGCACAACACAGAGATGCGCAACACAGAGATGCACAACACAGAGATGCACAACACAGAGATGCGCAGCTTCACGATGTGCATGGCCAGCAGCCAGTGGCTGTGCTGCAAATGACGACCTGCAAACCAGAACTGTGGAGGTAGTGAGGGTTGGTGGTCACACACACATCAGTGAAACCCCCTCACTAACACGTGGTATTGAGGTCGCCATCTCCAGGGTATGATGGCAGCACAGCAAGATTGAGCAGGCCATTGGGTAAAAAAATATATACTGAGGCCCACTGGCAGTCCGGTGCAAAGTCACTGAGTGCTGCACAGGGACAGCTGCCACTGACGGTGCCCTACGGATGAGATGAGATGTAAGACACTTTGAGTTCCTTAGGCATTTAAGCAATCATCGTATACATGCAATAGTTTATTCTTAATTTCCATTTGTATTCCATATTTACGGGGATTGAGTGCTACCCCCCCCCCCCCCCCACACTTTGCAAGCAGGGGTTTTTGTCCGGTGACTCCGGATAATCATTCGTCAATGGGGTTGGCCAAACATCGCAATGTAGGACCGCAGAGCTTGCAACAATTACTGGCGCCAGTTCCAGCCGACTTCCCACTTGTCTGTGGTTTCCCGCTCCTCCGAATCTATCTCCCGCCCTCTCTCTCTCTCCGAGAGCGTGCGAACAGAGTGCTGTGTCGGGGACCCGTTTGCCAACATAAAAATTCTGAGAAGAAAAAAAAACGTGCTTTACCCTAATCCAGCATTAATACGGGAGGGTGTTACGATGTTTGAACACCAAATAGACACCTACTGCAAAGCGTCGATTCTGCATTAACCCACACATGCTTGTGATAAAACAAATACAATAGCTACATTATAGCACTGTGTAATAAAATAAAATCCATTTTGTTCCTGGGTAGTAAGTGTTATTTTCTCATTGCTTATGCCTCAAAAGTACAGAAAATGGCTATTATTCCCCACAAACTTTGCTTTTGTGACCATGACAGTGATATTTTGAAATGTACCTATTTTCAATGATAAAACGTGTGCATTTGTGTCATTCACGTAAAGTCCTGGCCACAAAAGCAAAGTTTGGGGCCGTCCATAAATTACGTCACGTGATTTTGGCCGATTTTTGACTCCCCCTCCCCCCCTCGTCACAAAAAGTCAGACCCCCCTCAAATATGACGTCACAAATCTCTGCCCTCTCCCCCCAAACCCATATTTCCATTTTGAAAATAAAACATGCTTCAAATCACTTTAAACTATTGTCATTGTCGTGCGTATTGAACGTGGCGCTCCACTTGATGTTGTAGGAGACGTTGGAAAGCTGAAATTTAGCATAAAACTCACTTTGAAATATTCAACGTCTAACTAAAACTGCAGATGTTCAGAATATTATATTGAAATTCTCTTATAATTATAAAATATGAAAAGTAATTATAACTATAAAAAATACTTGAAACTTTGTAGTAGAACGAAGCTAAATGGAGAGTACAATCTAGATTTGAAGTTTAAGTTTTGGAGAGTACAATTATAGCAATCATACTAATTCCACAGAATGAAAAGCCCTGGTAGAATCATTAAAATCAAAATGTTTACTAACAACCATTCAAAAAATGTACAAAATGTATGCTTCTCCATTCTCCCATGGAGAAGAAAAATACTCCTTCATGGAATAAATAAAGGTGACCTTAGTAAATTTAAATAATCAAATAGTCAATAATGAAAATTAATCAAAATTAATGTTATAACAATTTTATTGTTAAAATGTATTTAAAGTTGCGCATTTTGATGTGACGTCACATTTCCCAAACCCCCCCTCCCCCCCTTGTCACACATCGTCACAAATGTCTGCCCCCCCCCCCCCCCCGAGGTGTGTGACGTAATTTATTGACGGCCCCTTTGTGGGGAATAATAGCCATTTTCTATACTTTTGAGGCATAAGCAATTAGAAAATAACACTTACTACCCAGCAACAAAAATCGTGTTACATAATGAATTATCAGAACATGTTTGTTTGCATGTTTTACCACACTTGATGCCTTGCAATAGGTGTCTAATTGATGTCCGAACAGCTTAACACCTCCTGTGTAATTGCTGGAAAGGGTAAACGCTTATTCTTATTTCCATCACATTGAGGTGTTGTCAAGCCGTGGCTTGCTCTGTGCAATGCTTAGGCCTGCCTGCAGTCACGGCAGGACGAGTGAGCTCACAACATGAGCTCCCAGCACCTATTCATCTTATTATTATTCTTCCATGATACAAATTGAAGTATATTATCATTTTTAGATTTAAAGCTTTCGTGACTGCAGGGATTCATCTTCTTGGTTATTTCGGTAAAGTCACGTAAAGACAGCTGTCTTTCCGACAGACCTGTTCTTCACCTGAGGACAGCTGCTTGCGTTGTGGCCGAAACTTCGTGAGAATTGTATTTTATGTTTTATAATTTTATTATTTCCCTTCTACGTGACTTTACCGAAAGAACCAATACGATATATTATCCTTCCATGTGATTCTTCTTCGCGAGTACGAGAGTGAGTGATTACTATGCGACAGAGGCGCGTTACAAGTTGAACATTATTATTATTCAGTGTTCCTTCCATGATAACAAAACAAACAAAAAACACTCGATGCTCAATCCTGAACTTGACGAATGGAGTAAGACTTCCCTCCCCCTCAGTGTTGCCACTGCCTCATCCCTTCCGCTGCAATTCATCTCCCCCTCACACATGTTCAGATTGTGGTGCGCGCTCTCCTGCAATGGCCACCATCATCTTGATCACATTTCCTCCCTTGGCTGCCATGTCCATGACTGATTTTTAACCCCATTTGTCGGCGCCCTTCTAAATCCGTCACTCGCAAGAGAGCGGATTGAAGTCAATCGAAGTTCCACAATTAGTTATGTATGTGTCTGTGGTTGGAGGAAAGTTACATCACACCATGGGTTGAGGATCCACCAGCGGAAGAAGGGGTGTTTGGGTAAAGAGAGACAGAGGCCTCGCATTGATTACTTTCTGCGAAAGCGATGAAATAAGTCGAATGAAGCACAGCAACTGGACGCAAACCATAGTTTGCAGTGCATCAGTACCACTGTCATGGAGGACGTAAACTCAAGCACCGAAGTAACAACTCAGGTGGAACCAACCACAGAAGTGGAACTCACCCAGCCTCCCAGACCTGCAATCGAGAGGAGACTACCAGGGCACAGACCGTATGTGAAGTGGCTTGGCACCAGTGACAAGAAGTTGTGGGAAATAGTGAATACTGACCTTACCTTGACCCTCGAGAAACTTCGAGGCACAGTGGAGAAGAAGTTGGAGAGGATGGGGGACATCATCTATGAGTACGGGGTAGAAAGCTTTGGAGTGCAAGAGGCAGAAGGTGGGAGAAAGGTTCCAACCCCACCAGTTTCCTGGAGGCAACAAGAAATCAAGCACCTCGTTCAAGAAAGGAGACAGCATAAGAAACAGTGGAAAAAGGCCTCGGAAGTAGAAAAGGAGGGCATAGAGGCACTTCAGGCTGACAGCAAAACCCGGTTGGCATCCCTCCGTAGAGCAGAGAACCTACGGAAACGCAGAAGGAAGAAAGAACAAACTATAACTCGATTCTATAAAGATCCCTTCAAGTTCCTTAAAAGTCTCTTCACGAAGGAAAAAAGTGGAGCTCTAAAAACAACAAAGAAAGACCTAGAGGAGCACCTGAGAACAACAAACTTTGACTCAAAGCGACATGAACATCTGGTCATCCCATCAGATATCCCACCCATTGAATCCCCGAAACATCATATTGAGACCAGCCCTCCGACATGGAAAGAGGTGGAAAACACAGTTCGACGGGCAAGAACAGCATCAGCCCCGGGGCCAAATGGAGTCCCGTACAAAGTGTATAAGAATGCACCAGACGTCCTGAGGTTCCTCTGGAGGCTTATGAGAACAGCTTGGCAAAAGAAGATAATACCCAAAGTGTGGCATAGGGCAGGCAGGGTCCTGATCCCTAAGGAGAAGGATGCAGTGAACATCAGCCAATTCCGCCCAATCTCCTTACTGAATGTCGAGGGTAAAATCTTCTTTAGGGTCATTGCCCAGAGGATGGCCGAGTACCTGCAAAGGAATGCGTACGTCGATACATCTGTACAGAAGGCAGGAATATCAGGGTTCTCTGGCTGCTTGGAACATTCCAGCATGATCTGGCACCAGATCCAAATGGCCAAGGTGGAGAAAAGGGACCTCCATGTAGTCTTCCTCGACCTCGCCAACGCATTTGGCTCTGTGCCCCATGAACTCCTGTGGTCTGCCTTCAGGTTTTTCCACATACCGGACATCATCACAACCCTGGTGAAGTCGTACTTCCAGGATCTGAAATTCTGCTTCACCACCTCAGAGTTCACCACCTCATGGCAGTGCCTGAATGTAGGTATAATGGCGGGATGTACCATTTCTCCGTTGGCATTCATAATGGCAATGGAGGTTATCATCAGATCCTCAAAATGGGTTGCTGGTGGACAGCGTGTCGACTCTGGTTTCCGCCTCCCTCCACTCAGAGCCTACATGGACGACATTACAACATTGACCACCACTGTCCCATGCACCAGGAGACTGCTCAGAAAACTCGAGGAGAACATCAGCTGGGCCCGTATGAAGATTAAACCATCCAAGTCACGCAGCATCTCGAT